TCATCAGTATGGCTCAGCTGTACATATCCTCAGCAGTGAAAATACTGCACAACATGTATGAAGTAACAGAATTCTTCTGCCAGCAGCAGATTCTTCTTTCTCTAATAGTTTGGGCAGTTACTAAAAATAACTATAGGTTATGTGCAAGAGTATATCTAGGAACCTATTTACTCTATATTATTTTAATAGAGTAATGCCATAACTGTATTATTTTCTAACAGTATGATATTATTACTTCAATTTTTTACTTGGTGCAACCCTTAACACATTTTCATCTTCTTCTCAGCCGTATGAAAGCTCACACTCTTCAACTGCTCCCTGCAGCGATCCCCTTGTTAGAGGGACACTGAGACACTAAGTTCCCTGGGGCTGATGGGCTAAGCCCACTGTGAGCACCAGAGTTCAATATTTACAGCACTACAGGTGTAAAACTCAAGTTAATCAAGCAGTTTGAGTCACATTCATGTAATAGCACAATTTAGCATGTGTTGTAGGAGATGGTGAAAGGAGGAAGCAGGGAAGAAATAGTGAACCCAGGCCTTTTAAAACTCTTAAGTGTGCAACTTCTATTTAGAAGGAATTGTGCACCTATCATTTTTGGGCTAAAGGAAGATACCCAAGGGATGTCTGTCATGGTTTCTCCATTTCAGAGACAAAAGCTCTCCACAAAAAGAGAAGGAAAAAATAAGGAAGGGATAGGACAATGTTTCCACAAAACATTATTAATGCTAGATGCTGCTTATGAAAGTTTTAATTCAGAAGGACCCTTCCTCTTAAAGAATTTATTTTCCCTTCCTTGTAGGAGAATAATTCAGCACAATTGTAACAATTCAGAGAATTTTAAGCTGTTAATTTCTTTCTTCCCAGTTAGTACCATCACCAAGAGCAAAAGAATTCTATAAACAGAAAGGTCTCCAAATGCCTGAAACCCCATTTACTGAATTTATAATTTGCCTAAACTATCACTTCAGCTTTTGCCTAAGCAGAGTTTTCAGTTATCACAGAGTTCTCACAGTTATCACAAAAAAAAAAACCCTCTCTCCCAAAGCCATCATCTGTTTCATTATGACGTGCTCGAGGAGTACAAAAGGGATGCACTGTGCAAGAAGGAAAAAAAAAAGAGAAACAAATGAACTATGAATTGAGGTTGATGGTAAAAACAGCAGTGTCAGATTCAGCAAGCCATTACAGCACACATCAAAATTGTCCAATAGCAATTATCTTGCCCCAGATGAAAATTAAGACGTCTGGAAGGATTTCTGCAGTAAATGTTTTCCAGGGTTTCTAACACAGCTACAAAAATTAATTGAGCTGAAAGCATGCATCAGTTCAAATACTTTTTTTCTTTTTTTAATAAAAAAGCAGTCAAGCAGCATGTCAAGACCTTTTTCTCACAGCAGTTCTTGGCATGCATATCTGCATTAAAACTGCATTGCCAGCACACATTGCTGCAGACATCAACATTCTGAGCATACAGGAAGCATTTTAGAGTTCAAGGCACCTTCATGCATGCAGCATCTGAAAGATGCACTACACAAGGCTGTTGGTAAGGACACCACTGAAGGAGCCACTTGCCCAGAATGGCTGGCTTGTCCTTTACAATCATCTCATAATTATTCAAATGCCACACACGCAGCTTCTTAAAACAAAGGCTGCTCACGTAGATCGTTGGACTGGTGAAACATCTAATAGTGCACCAGATGCTTGGGATAGAATCAGGAGGACTGAGTCGCTAGGATGTCAAGGAGAAAAACTGAAACACCGCTGGAGTGGTATGTTAGGCAGACAGCACATCCAGCTACTGGCTGAAATAACACCGCCCAGCCCTCAGCTGCTGCCCTTGTGTTCCTATCACACCGCTACAGCCCTGCACAAGGTCTGAAAAAGCTCCAATGCACATCAGATCCTGCACTGAGCAAACGCAGCTAAAGCTTCACACTGTAGCAGCAGAACATTTTTGCCTTATTTCCCTAGTTTTTCTAGTAACAATTAGCTATTGTTTGTAAAGCACTGCAATTTCAAGATAACTCAATCAACGCATTAGCTCTTCCTTGCTCATTTTCTACACACATAGCTGTCAGGACTTGCATTTCTTGACGAAGGAATTACCTTGCTGTATGACTCTGTGCACATCCATAGCTCAACAAAGAATTTAAGCTCAGCAAAAAGGTACTGAGTGGCTGCTATATGCTAGACCATAAACTATGTCACCTGCTTTCGTGTAATAGCATGGGCCTATACAACATTCAACACAAAGAAACGTGATTTATAATCTCCTGGTAGTGGCTCCTAACTGGTTCCTGAAAGCTCAGCAATGCCTCATGCCAACTGACGCCACTGTACTTCTCTGCAAAATTCTCAACATCTGAGGATGCTGTGTGCCAGGAGATGAAGAAGCAGTAGCTAATAAAGCTGTTAGATTAGGGAAGTGGACTGAAAACACCAACAAGTTTGAAAGAGAGACTGGAATTAGGTTGGAGAGGCATGCAAGTGCATGCAGGAAGCACTGCAGGCTCGTAGCCTCAGAACCAAACCATTAGCCACAGATTAGAGGTAAATATTAAGAAATATTCAGTTTTAGTATTACAGAAAGTGAGCACAGTAAATCTACGGCCATTAGCTTGATGTTCATGAGACAGTCTAAAACCTGCTAACTCATCTGAGCTCTACTTCCATTAAACATTTAATACTATGCTTTTAGTTACAGAGGTCCCAACCACCCTAAATTATCCTGTGTCTCCAACGATACTGAACTACTTCAAAAGCAGCATATGCCACAGTTTCTGGTTTGAGTAGAACTTCAAAAATAACATTGCATTTTCAAAACTGATATGATTGTGGATTTAGAACAAGGTCAAAGTCCTAGGACAACCTATAATTAAACAATTTTTTGTTGTTGTTGGAAAAAGAAAAAAACCTGCTTAAGTAACAGTTTTAAAACCAGAAGTCATGTAAGACAAAGGACAATTAAAGCAATACAAAATGCTGCCAAGGGGGAAAAAAACCAAGGCCTACATACTGAGGTCTTCCTCAGGCAAAAAACCTGCTCTGCATGATCCTCGTGTTTAGCTCTCCATGTGTTTAAAGACACAAGAAAAGAAATCTGTAACACTGCAGACTGTCTTCCAATAGCGAAGTACTGTATGCTACTAATACAGCCCCTTAACAAGCTTATAAAATGCTCAGTGCTCCTCTAACGTTTGGGCCTCCTGCCTTGCCTGCTAATAGCATGGGGGCTACTAAGCACAAGTCATCTAAACCCATTCACCAGTTATTTGTAACGAGCTCAACTTCTTATACCATGAAAACACACACATGCAAACAAATATGATTTCCTACCACCCCCTCAGACATAAGCTCTAAGTGATGCTGTATCTCTTCTACTTAGAAATATCATCAACCACGCTATCAAAGCACAACTTCTCTTACTAAGCATAATCTATGACAAAAATGATAATTAAACTCCTTTCAGAACAGATCCAGGGTAGGCTAGTGAGAGAAAGGATTCTCCCTGTAACTGAGCTATCTACTGAGGAATGGGCTGCTGAATCAATAGCTCATCTCCAAAGAAGTAATACCATGGGAGAAGTTCTACGTGCTAGCAGTGTCAGGCCAGTGTCAATTATGTTAAGCTGTGGAAGGTAGGAGAACCACGAGCTGAAAGAAGCCACAAGATGGTGGATAATTTGTTTATCCTTCTGGGCTATATTTGAACTGGTGACTCACCATATACACCTTGCTAGTTACTCCTTCAGCTGGTCATTTCAGCCCCCTTCCCTCACCTTCAAAAGTCATCAGAACTGAATCGTTACTGTACACACACTTCAAGACAAAGAACACCTCAACCAGCAGAAAACACAACTATTCCATACATTCTATAAAACTGAAGAACAACTACCAGAAGGGAAAAAACAACGTGTGGATTCCCTATGCATCAACTTGCCCTTAGGTTGTAGTTTTTCCTACCAAAGGGATTACATATGTCCATTTTGGTCCACACAAGACAGGCTACACACAAGTAATCACTACACATATTTTTATACCATGCTATGAGAGCTAATCTATTTTTCAAAACTCTGCAGGGATCTTCTTTAACGTAAAATTTTTTAAGTAATTCTTAGGCAAATGCACCAGGAATCCATTGTAATTGATAAGTAACAACATACATGTTACCACTTGTCTTACTTTTAGGTAGGAGAGAAAAGGGTTAATTTTTTAATTAAGCAGTTTCTACAAAATAAATGTAAACAAGAAACATGAACTTTACAAAAAAGGAGCATCTCCTCAATCTGTACTGAAACTAAAACAGAAGAATAAACACTGTATTGATTTTTGACACAAAATAGCTAACACTATTCACAGCAAGAGAACCCTCCCCTCTGTTTGGTTCAGGATTTTTTTGTTTGTTTTTCCTGAGGGAGATTAAACACAATCCAGTGAAACCTGGTGGAAAGGCCCATGTGAACTAAAATTTCTGTTTCTTATTTGATAATTAGACCTTGACCAGGAAATACGGACAATAGAATAGTTCCTCTTCACAGAACTCAGATTAAGCTGTAATCTTCTTGTTATTCTAAATAGGAAGATAGCAGGGACTGAATATACTGGTATCATCCAGCTGAAATATCCCTGATTCATATGAAATCAGAGAATAATAAATGAGACTTAAATGCAATGCAATGTCTCCAAAACAAGTATTACTTAGGAGCATCTCAATGGCAACCCAAATCTTTAATTCAGAATATTATCAGCGGAACTTTATGTTCCTACTGTGATTTTTTTCATGTTAATGAGGCCTTCTTATGATAAAAGATATCCAAAGGCTATAAGTGAATTGAGTTCTAAGGCCTGACACTGCAATCCTACCTCTGCATAGCAAACAGCACATGGTTATCTATTAAGGCCCCATAAAAGAAACTATGACTGTAGTGAAGAGCAATTGCAGAATCTGGCCTGTGAGCAATTTCATATTGAGTGCGTATATCATGAAATAGCCTTACCTCAGTCAGTGCGTGCAGCTGTCCTTGATGCACACAGACACCCATAAACCTACAAGAAACAAAAAAAGAGAAGTGGTTTGGGCTTTCTTCCCTCCCTTTTATTTTTGTTTTCGGTTTTTTGGTTTTTTTGTTTTGTTTTTTTTTAGAAAGAGACAAGGATAATAGAAAAGTAGTGGCTAGTGAAGAAAGAAGGAAAAAGGGGAAAAAAATCAGCCTCAGATAATGCATATCTCAAGGTCAATTATTTAAAAGTCTCAGCACAAAACAAAATTATATGCCTACACTGCAATACGTGTTCCAAGAGAGCACAGGAAACTGCTCAAACAAGATGGAAAGTTACTAACTTAACTACAAGCAAAGGCCAGCATATAATGTTTTTGCAGAAGGGAACAGTCTCAGAGCTCCCTGCTCCAATGAAGCCAAGTAATCCACTGCTGGTCTGCATAAAGTGCAAATTACTTCCCTTCTCATTGTGCTGAATAAGCACGAAGATGTTCCTTTCTACCCCATTCTTAACCACAGAGGACTGTGAGGGCATGTGCATGCAGCATACTTCTCTTTTCCCCTGTGCCTCCCTTGTTTTCAACACTCGTATTAAAACAAAATTTGATGGTATCTGGTACATACACATCCCAGTGTGCAAGGTTCAGACTCCTGCTAAAAGAAAAGACCATCAATCCCTTGACTTTTTCTCTGTCATTATGCAGAAATGTCATATTTAAACATAAGAGGGATAATTAAAAGCTCGTTATTCTACAATACAAGCTGAGCTTCTAAGTAACAAAATGCAAATCAACACTAACAATAAACATCTCCTGTGAGAAAGCTCAGTACAACTTAACCTGTACGCACCTTGGAGTCCTCCCTGCACAGTCACGATTTTGGATATTTTTAGATGAGCCAATTGTCAACTTTATCATTTACATTTTTGTCTCTATGGGCAAGAACACATTGCCTGTAATTTCACAGTGTTCAGAAACCTCCACTTCACAAGAGGTAGAAAGGCACAATTCTATTAAATGTGATGGGAACCCTGCAGAGATCAATTGGAAGGAAAAGGCCCTTATATAGACTCAAAAGTTTCTGAATTTAAAACCAAAATGATGCAAGACACACGCAGCACTAGTTCAGCTAAGCTGCTTCTGAACAAATGAATGATCCTTACTGTTCTCTTCTCTAACAGCTGACTGGTAAATTACAAACAGCCAAAGAGAAATAACATAGGTAAGGTTCTTTGCATAAGCTGAGCTGTGGAAATCTGTTTTTAGAACCAAAAAAAAGTAGCAGGACTCTTACTTTAAAGTCTATTGTCTGTTCTTACCTCAAATATTACTTTCTCTAAATAAAATATGCAATTTTTTTTTGTTTGAGAGTGAAAACACAATTCTTCTTGCTTAATGAAGAACAGTAATGCACAACAGGTGTTCAGGGGAAGGGGAAAAAGAGCTGTTTTAAATACATTATCTACACAAACATTGCTCTAAGTTTCACTTCATACAGCGACTGCATATGAACTCTTTTGTAAATGTGTTCACAAATTAAGCTTCCTACAACTAAGAAATACAGACCTCTCCAAAGCAGGAATCTGTTTTTACTTCCATGCATTCTGCAAGGTTTATGAAGTACGGTGTTAATAGTTTCACTTAATCCAACATAACACTTAAAATTTGGAACTGGTATTTTCTCTTTTCTGAAACACACTAATGAGGTTAATCCTGTATGCTGCTGTACTTTTATTTAACAAAAACTGAGGTTAAACAAATAAAAATAATATCATTTTCATCTGATTATCAACTCTTTCTTTGTAAAGGCATATTACTTTACTTCCAATTAGGCTTTCATTGTATTTGACTTAATTCTAAAATTAAAAATGCAATTAAGAATTGTGTTAGATGTGTCGTCTCATCTTTACCAAACAGGAGAAATGTCTCTTATCAACATACTGGCAGACCCTTTTCTGACAACCTGTTTGCTCAAAGGAAGTCTCAATGGAAACATATTCATAGCCTCAGTGAACCTACACTTCGAGCAGCAAAGACACACCAGCTCAAGTTACCGAGAATAAGAGCTCAACAATTCTTCAGCATCTTGGATTTCTATGAGGAAACAGACTAACATTTCTAACCTTAAACCAGAAATTAAAGCAAAGTTCCATATCATGTTCCATATCATGATTGCATGAAAAATGCAGGACAAAAATACATTTATTAAACCCACATCTTTGGAAGATATTAGCCAGGAAAAGAGAAACCAGATACACTGATAAAACAGGCTTAATGAGCTTACAGGCAACACAATGAAACCATCAATAGATTGTGTCAAGAATCTCACTTTTCAGGCTCTGGAAAATAGATTGATAGAATAGACCTCTAGTGATTCAAATTCCTGGAAAATGTCATCTTAACTGCTGTATCAAGCAATACTAAGTCTCCTGGTTAAGCCAAGTAATGCTACAAAATCCTATAGAAAAGCTTTCTCACTAAAAGGTAATATATGCAGCAGCTATCAGGAAATACAATTACCAAGTTTAACATAAGATTCCAATTTCTGAGATCGACCCACAGGAGATTCCAAACTCTGTGGATAGGAAGCTGACATGCTGGCCCAGTACAGCTGAGATTATTCCTGCTGGCGAGACGCACCGTCTGCTGAGCCAAAATGTGCTTGTAGGTGAACTTCAGCAGAATGTCTCATCAGCCAAGGGTTACACTTCCTATAAGCATTTCTAGTTGGAAGAAGCTTCAATGAGTAAGTCATCCACAGCAGAGGTGACTATTTGCAGATATAAGGAAGTTTATTTTTCAAGACAGTACATCCAGCCTTATCAGGAAAGCTGAATCGCTTCCAAAATTGAATCCAGCAGCTGGAAAATTTTCCCCAGAGGCTGCAAATATAAGGGATGACATTTGAGTCCACATTGCTAAGTACAGTGCAGAATATTTCCACAATCTGTATCACCTGTCCTCCTAGAGAAGAGGAGAAAAGTATTCTACACATTTTTGAGTCCTTCAGGACAGTTACCCTGTGCTTTCACTCAGTTCAGTCAGACTGCAGGGGAGAAAGTTCTGGACAAGACTGGGGACTAAAAGCTGTAGTGCCCAATCTTTGCATCTCTGTTAGATTAAACAAAACTAAAATCCAGATTAAACAGCCATTGTGGACATCTAGATATTGGATACATGCTTTCCATTGAAAGAATTTCACTAGAACGTCTCTGCTCTACAGATAAACCTAGGGCAGCTATAGTCTGACACACCCTCTGAAATCCACTGCTTGCTTGTATAAAAGAACTCAGGACATTGAGGATAACCTTAAAAATAAGAAGCAAACCAAACTCACCAATACAAAAAACTCTCATACAAGCTCAATAATACATAGAGAAATTAGTTCAAAAGACAGGTAGATGCTTATTTCAATGCACTGACTGGAGGGAGAAGAGTATAAGTCTGCACTAGAACCCCTCCTGATGTCTTAGGCACCATTCTAGAAATGTACTTAGTTTTCTACGCTTGCTTTTTGATTGAAGACAGAAGCAAAACATTTTATCTAACCCTTCTGTAACATATTACACACAACACATCCCATCTTCTGCTTTTTTGCATGCAGCATTTATAAAATACTACTTTTAGATAACTGCATTACGTAGAGAAAAGTAAAAAAAAAAGTTTTCCTTTCTTTTAAATTATCACTCAATACAAGGGAACTGGTGTTAAAAGACAAAAGCCATCCTTCTTCCTAGTGGCTCAAAGTCAATCGCAATTTCACAAAAAGGAAAGTTTGACAAGTGAAAATGCATTTAAAAAATTGTATTGTCTTTCCAGGGTGCTGGATTTGTCCAAAAGTAGCTGAAGGAAAATTCTCCTTAAAGTTCACAGAATAAGAAAGTAGCGTGCACATTATGTTTTGTGTGTATGCACAGAAAAGCAGATTTAATCAACGAGTCAATCTGCCTACACACTCACTGCCAAACACAGCAATATCTCCAAGGACTCCCATGAGAGCACTTAAGACATAATTTAAGGTTTTCTGCATACAGGATGTTTTAAATGAAGTCCCTGAGGTACAGATTAAATAAAGAAGTATTTTTCATGAAAACAGTAGTAATATTAAAAATTGAAATTCTATCTCAAAATTGAAGATATACTAATTTAAGACACAGCACAGGGGATAGATTATCTGTGTTAGCACACCACTTCATTTCTCAAAATAAGAAAAACACACCTGTAAGACATTTCCAAAATGTAAAGGTATCAGAACCAGAATGAGAAGGTATCAGATCTCCTAGCCTGGGAGCTGTAGGGCTCCAGACTCTGAGACAACAGCCTCCTTGAGCTCTTTCCAGCTCCATTTTCTTCTTTTGACTTAGGCAAAAACTCATGGCTGCAATGCAACATCAGCACTCAGAGAAGCATCAAAGTGCTGAAAAACACTTTGAAGCATACACCAAACCTGGTAGCAGATCTAACCCAAACCTTGAACAGCACTGTACTTAAGTGTGACGCTAGCTAATAAGGGAGTGAAGAAATGTTCCAAACCTCTGGCTCTCCAAGGCCAAACTGTTTGTCTTACCATGTACCAGCCACCCCAAATTAACATGACTGCACTATATGGTGCAAACCAGAACTCCAGCTCACCTTTCCACTCCTGCTTTGAGGTAAGATGTGATAAGCCAGGCTGCCAAAAGGCAGCAACATCTCATGCTCACAGGAAGCAGAAGCATCAAGCCAAGATAGAAAGCATTTTAGTCCTCCAGTTTGCACACAAGAACGAGATGGAGATAGGAGATTATGCAGCTGACAGAAGAAACAGTGCTGAGAATTAATGAACACCACTAGTCTGCTTTCAGTCCTGAAACATCCCTAATCTGATCCTTGAGGTAAACAAAGAACAAGAAAAGCAGCTCTTTCTTATGATCACCAAAACAGCAACTGAATAAATTACTACACCACAGTTAACATCTTCTCTGCCTTCTCATCTGCCTCTGGAATCACATTTGCTAATAGAAATAGGAAGCAAGAGAGAGGGAGACAAAAGATCACAGTGCCCTTTTCACCATTCAATGCAGCTGCAAGAACTTCTATTCCAAAACATCCTTAACCAAGAGGTTCCAAAATAAACCCTTAGTGGAGGATAGTTCCTCACTTCCCCTAATGAATTTTCCATCAAGATTTTTTTAACAGGTATTTTTATATATGTATATATTTGACCACTGGAATCTTTGCAATGCTCCCACAGAGATTACATACTTACTGGAAACTTGGTAAATGAAAACTAAGCTCTTCAGTGACTTCTGATTAAGATAGATATCTACATGACTGGCCAAATGCAGAATTTGAGCACAGGAACATTGAAATGAGAGTGGGGGTATTTAAAATTAGCCTTACAACTACATGCCAAAAAAATAAATTATTTTTAAAGCCTAAAAATCCAAACTGCTATTTCACGACTTATTAGAAACAGAGAAACTGGAACATCTTGACACAACTCTGTGCACAAAAGTGTCTAAGGTCACTAAGATAAAACACAAACCTATCTGTAAGTAATCTCTACAGTGTTAAAGGATGGAAGAAAGTCAGGCTAATCCAGACTCCAGACTGGTGGTTGTAGGTTGGAATAAAAACCTTAAAAGGCCTTTGTAAGTGTGAAAATGAGTTGATATGAACAGCAGAGAAGCAAAAGTAGTCTCAAATAATCGACAATAGTAACTGTTCACATAAATGCAATTAATAGTAAAAAGGCAAGAATCTTTGCACTATCATCTTGAAATTAACTGTAGGCATGTTGGAATTGATAGCTTGTAAAAAGGTGTGATACGTTCTAGAGCACTGGCAAAGAAGATTTTTAATTAATTTATTTTTAATTAGCCAAGGGTCATTATTATCCACTGGACACTAGATACACTAGGAAGTGCATCTCCAAACATTTTAGAGGAGAAACAGTATACCTTAAGATGTTTGGATGTGAGAGTCTATTCATAAGTTGAACCTCTTTCAGCATGTTCGCTCTGTTGCTGTTCAGCGTGTTCATCTTCAAAGCCATTACCTGGTCTGAAGTTCTGTGTCTTACCTACAGGATACAAGCAAAAAGCAGTAAGGACATATTCTAGTAACATGAAACAAGGCTGAAAAACCAGTAAAGTTGTAGAACAACTTAAATACTCTTCATGACAACTGACTTGATGTATACTGATTTCTCTCATTATCACACAACTACTTTTAATAGGCACAGCATCCAAATGAAGAAAGGTACATTACACTTCCCATGCAACTGATATCAAGTTTGAGAAGCTGAAAAAAATTATCAGCTTCTCGGTACAAGTGAAAGTAGTCACTTAGTTGTTCAGGGAGAGAAAGCTCCCTACTCTGAGTTTATGAAACTCAACTGCTTTTCACTCATCCCTCTTCCTTTCCCAGGGTAGTGGTTGGTTTTAAGGATCCACAGAATGTGTTATGAGAGGTCCAGCCTTATACAGCTATGGGCAAATTTCACAGGCAACCAAGGTTTACTTTTTGACTAGAGGAACGAGCCTGATTATACGCTCAGCAGAAAGAAAGCATTTGTCTAAACACACACTGTGATGCAGAGAGTTACAAGAACAGCTGAACTCCGGATAAGTGGAAGTAAGAAGAAAGCTGGATATGTCTTCTGGCAATGATGCTCACTAGTATGTTTAAGGCATCAGGTGATACCTATTTTCAGGTTTCATTTGCCCACTGTCTACAAGAACAAGAGGAACATTTCGCCTAAACAAGAAGCACCACGAATTCAGCACAAGGAAGTACTGGAGGGAACGGGTGTCATGTTTTACATGTGTGCATCTTAATGCTTGAGACACCTGCCTACTCCCCATCCTAGTGAGAAGCAGGGCAGCATGGGAAACACTGCAGCTAAGAGTGGCAAACAACACCATCAGACTGAGCAAGTTGAAAAATAGCTCTCAGGCATTTTCTCCTGCTCCTCCCCTGCCCATGCATAAGCTTCTCAATTGGCTAACCCACAGTCACACAGTAACCCCACTGTGAAAAGGATCAGAGAAAGGAGATGGAGAAGGGTATAGAGACCACCATGGATAGCAGAAAGTAGCAGTAAGTTGGTGAGCTGAGAGTTCTCTTTTCAGTGGTAATATTGGCTTTAAAAACAAAAAAACAAACCTGGTGAAACTACAGCTTTAGTGTTATAACAAGGTAATCCAGAGTTGCTCCATGTTTAACCTGTTTTGCCTGTTTGGCATGCTTATTACTCTTAAGTGGGATGATTGCATGTTAAGTTGATGAGGTTTACTGTTACTTGTCAGGTTTCCTGTGTCTATTGTCTGCTTTCATTAACTCTTAATTTTAGGTAGCTTTTGCATACGTAGCCAATTTGAATGAACAAGCTGAGGTGGACAAGTCAATTTCCATATGCATGTATTTCTAAGTATGTATTTTATTTAGATTTCAGTTTTGTGTCAACTCTTTAGTTGGGGAACCAAAATTAAGGAAAGCTTTCATAGGTTTAAGGGAGATTTGTTCTACCAATGCAAATTAAGAATAAGGACAATTTTAAAAATTTCCATCTATACATAACAGCACAAGAAACACTTCCTCTGGGAGAAGGGTTAGGAAAATGGGTGTTGTGGTGGAGTAATTTGGGCTTTATAAGGAATGGCAAAGAATTTGAAGCTTAAGTCATACAGGCAAAGATCTGCTCCCAACAAAACTTCCTCAGAAACCAGCTTTCCACTGACACAGAAGCTTCAAGGTCTGCCAGCAGGGAAGGAACAGAGATAGAAGGTAAGCAGAAACTTGGATGAAATACTGTCTTGAGCAGTATTTGCCTGTCATTAACTCTGCTGGCTACCTCTTGGCCATTTATCTAGTTCACTTAGCTCCATGCCAAAATTTCAAGTTCTTTTGCCTCAGCTTTTAGGTAAAATTAGAGCCCTACTAAAGAACCTTTTCCCTTGTTCTTTGCCTTTTCCTTGTTCTGGACTCTATTCTTGAGTTATGTAAACTTTTGAAGGTGTTTTTGAAGCAATCATCCTGTGTGCTTCCTGGATTTTCAGGTCTGACAGGCAAAAGGAAGAGGTTAACAACTACTTCTCAAAGGTTGGGCTGCCCACAGTACTAATTCCATGAACAGAGAAAAATGAGCAGTTTTTGCAAAGAATATTTCTCATCCTCCATTTCAGAATATTGCTGGAGTCTCTTTGGTCTTGACAGGCTGCAGTGGGTTCTGTGGTGAGCTTTGGGGCCTTTTTGTTTTGTAAAATCCATTTGATTACATTAAGAAACAGCTCAATTTCTAGCATGTGGGCATGTTACTAGTTCTCTAAAAGTCACCTGGCACTGCGTTGCTTTCTGTTTCAATTAAAGGGACACTGTAAGCTAATACCAGTCATCTTATTTGAACTTCTATTTACTGTTCTGATGTCGGAGGACATATTCCCCCTGAATCTGATAGAATTGCAAATTACCAAATCAAACCAAAGGAGAAGTGGGAGAAAAGGGACTTGGTCTCACACAAGGTACTCTTCAAGTTAGGAGGGAAAAGCAGACCTGAAGCCTGAAAGTCATCTTCTTTAGTAGTAGCCAATACTGAGAATAAAAATCAGATATTAGCTTATATATATTATGAAACACAATACCAGTCACTTAGAGTATATACATAAAGCTAATTGTGGTCTGTCCTCTGAAGCATTGTTGACAAACAGCATTTCCACAGCAAGAATGGACTGCCAAGAGGGAACAGACAGGTCCTGCTTTTAAGGTCTCAGTCAAGCTCCAGACCATCTGAGCTGTCAGCTCTTCCTTACAGCCACAGCTATCAGTTACACTACATTGTGCACCTACTTAGCTGTCATTCATAGCCTAAACTGAATTGGGCTCTGTGCTGGTATTCCTTGCCAAAACTCTGCCATTTCTAAACCTTTATCTCCTTTCAGGCTACTAATGTGCACATAAGAGAACAGCTCTAGAAGCTAACAGTAGATTTTAGAAATATTATTGATCAAAAGCAGTATTTGCTTATAGGACATTTTGCCTCAGCACATGCCTATATGCTCAACATATAAACAAGGAACCCTAGCAGATGGCTGTAAAACTATCAAAGCCGTTGACGTTATTATTAATCAGAGTTCCTTGCATATGAGATCAAGTAACCTCTCAGTGATGTCTGGATGATCATGTCTGTGCTTGGAAATATTTTGACAATCCTACAGCTGCCTTCCCAGGCTCCTTTGCACACTCTTCTGACTCTCAGTCTGCTTACCTATGTGTCTCTAACTCAGAGGTCACAGTAACCAGATATTGCCTCCCTGTTTTATTGCTGGCAGGCAGTTAAAGTGTCCCTTTGCACTCTGATTCTTCTAGGATCAAAGTACTTTGTAAGTACTTTGACCTGGCTATGGCAAGCTGCACGGCCTGCCTGGCCAGGGTCTTCAAACCATGCTCTGGTCCCAGACCTTCTTACCTACTGAAAAAAAGAGGTATGCAGTGAAGTGATGGAACCAGGCACAGAAACAGGAACATACTTGAAAGAAAACTTGTAACAGCAATTGAGGGGAGCTCATATTCAAAATAACTAGCCAATATGTAAACGTACTCAGCTCGTACAATAAATGGCCAGGAAAATTGCTCTTTTTAATTTTTAACTTACTACTTGCTACAAAGTCTTTTTGTTTGTTTGATCATTGGAAGACTAAATATCATTTAAATAACTGTTTATTAGGTCATAGGTATGCCATAGCTTTCTAAATATCCAAACATTAATTCTACCGTTTGCCTGTACTGAAGGTGAGGGGAAAGACTGATCTGATTTCATCTTCCACACAGCCTTACTAACCTTTACCTTAACTGTCCCTTTCCAAGTGTCTTTAAAATGAGCATTTGAAGGACACTGATGTTACAAATCTGCCAATATAGCTTTCAGCTCTGCTGTTAGTTTTCCATTGTATTTTCATTGTTTTCCAGCCACGCAACATTGATTTGAAAGTAATTTGTTGTGGTTATCTTCCAAAACTGCAGAGGGTTAGGGTCAGCTGCATTTTGTTCAAGTCTCACAGTCAAGCCATCAAGTCACCATGCTCACATGGACATATATTCATACCCTGGGGATGAATATCTTAAAAGAATGCTAAACTTTGATTGAAGAAAGCTCCCTTTAATTAAGGAGACAAACTTGTTCCTTAGGTTGTAAATCCAGTTCTACAAACTGTGCATCTCAAATGTTTTTCTAAGCACTAAAGAGTGCCCCATAGTCAGATGCACATATCCTTAGTGATGATGCTAATATCACATCAAAAGTGCCACGTCACTAGGAAAATCAGAAGTGATAAATGGAAACTTAAAGAAATACATCAATGCAGATTACATTAAGCTGCTATGTTGATGCTAAGGAGCGAAGCTAAGTTGGGGTTGTTTTGGGAGCAGTAGTGTATATAATGTCACTACACCAACTTGTAGCAAGAGAGAAATGTGCCAAGTGTAACAAAGCCTTGCCAAACAAAACCAGTCAACATGTGTTACAAGAGCTTGCATACAGGTTCAGAAGATACATGGGAAATTTTTCACCCCCCCAAAAAAACCAATGTTTTAAAGCTTGACAGTAATTGTGATACACTCATTTCTGTTGCATTAAAAAAAACACACAGTGAGAAATATACAAAATATTGCAGCTTTTACCATTTCCTCCTTAGTGCAAAGGTCTGTTACTTTTCATTAAACAAAGATCCAACTATAGTAACTTCTAATGTCACCAACGTAGCAAAGTAACACATTCAGTTACTATAGCATATTCCACACCTACAGCCAGTCTCCAATTTTTTGCAAAAAAAACCCTATAATTCGTAAGCAATACAGTTGTTACTTTAGAAACCCATTTGCATGTGCCAAAAAAAAAAAAAAAAACCAACTCATTTTTTTTTGCATTTTGTTTTTCTTCATTGCCCTCTGTAATGTAGAACCAGGATCCAGAATACAGCACCCATTTATTTTAAACAAACCATTCTCCGATAGGAATCTGCGCACAGCTCTGCCACCAACTTGATCTCAATTAAATCAAAGGCAAAAAGAGACCATAGTCTTATT